AAAAAAAAATCTTTCAAAAAATATCTTTAAAAAACAACTTTAAAAATCTTTAAAAAATATATATTTAAAAAATATATATTTAAAAAAATATCTTTCAAAAAATATCTTTAAAAAAACATTTTCAAAAAAATAAATACCAATGAAAAATCTTTCACAAAAACCTTTCAAAGAAAACTCAAAAAAATAAACCTTAAAAAATAAATAAAATAATAAAAATAAATATACACCAACATTAATCCAAAATTAATGCAAAATCTATGCAAATTCCACTTTACAGCTGTCATAAGTTGTCCCCAAACCCCGAAAAAAAAACTATTTAGATAGCAAAATTATGCCAAAACAAATGAGAAAATTTGCAAAATGCTCAGCATTTTCAATGAGCTGAGGCGCAATTAGCGACAAAACTTCAAGTGCAAATGCTGTTCGCAACGAGATTGCTGCCAAGCGTCGCCTGCCTAACAATTACTACTATCTCCGCCATTTGGCTGCGCTTTATCCCCGCCATTATGGTTATTATTTCTGTGCAGAAAACGCAGGAAGCGGAAATCGCGCCAATAAAGCTGTGACTTGGATGCCACACTCTCTTTCTCTCTCTCTCAGGAGGATGCCAGGCTGCCGAGTTAATGGGCCGAGAGCCATGCCCACAAGCCAGAGATTAGTTGGTAACGGGGGTTCTCAAGATTTTCATCGCGTTGCTAATTTCGTTTATTATTATACAGTGGTTATGTTCATTTTTGGTTACCCAAAAATAGGGGCAAAGTTTCATGGCAAGAAGTATTAGCAGGTGTTGTTGTTTTCCTTCCCCTAAAACCTCCCTCCAGTTCCCTATTACGTGATACCTGTGAGAAGGATCTTTCATAAGGGATTCCTTTATACTTAAACGGTTGTCTGCAGACTCTTCTTGAAACGAAATTAAAATAGCTACTCAGTTTGACTTCTTTTGAGGTCTTTCAGACTCTCTTTTTTGCTTTGCCTGCAATGTACAGGCAAAACAGAGCGAAAGAGTTTCTATTTAGCTGTGTTCCCAAGGAGCATTGTGTTTTTTTAAGTCATTTGAGTTTTAATTAAGTCATTTGATCAAATTTAATGGAATATCCACAATATATAATACAAAAAACAAGGTCATGAGTTGTTGAAACCATAACAACGATTAATATTGCTGTCATTGTTGTTGAAACTGTGTTTTCTTTAGCACTTTTTGCACTTTTCCTCGAACTTGCCTTTTCTTGTGCGACTTTTCAGCAGAAGCCTTTAGCTTAAGGGGGGTGTTCTTTCCCGTTCCGTCCTGTCCTATCCTGTCCTGTCCTGTCATTTCATAGTTTCTCCCAGGTATGAATTACTGCAAATTGTAATAATTTATGCAATTATTTGTGTACGAAACTGGGGAAAAGTTTCTTTGTTCTCTCGTTGCAGCGATATAAAAAGCAAACTTGCACTTCAAAACTTTTATGTTTTGTTGCAAAAGAAAAAAAAAGTTCCTGCCACGACGAACCCAAGAAAAAAAGATGGGTGTTTGGTGAAAAATAAAGGAAAATCCCCTTTATAAGTAGTGTGTTGGAGGCCCCTAACGATAATGTCACATGGCAGCCGCATATTAACTTCGGCTAGCAACCGCAGGAACGAGTAACGAAAATTCCCAACTAACTAGTTGCTAACTAATTACCCAAAAAGTGTAACGTTACCTCAGAGACATTAAGACTTGTAGGGGGGGGAAAAAATTGGTAAACTTTCAAGCAGGAAAAATAGTTGCCACAAACTTGAGAAGGACTCGAGGAAGCAATGAACTGCAAGAAAAACAGGCTGTGGAGTCAGAACAAGACAAAGTGTAAACATTTTTGGGCCAACACAACTTTTGCCCACTCACCTAAGTACGGACTCGGATTCGGACTCAGACTCGGTTCCGGCTTTGGTCTCAGATGCAGACAATTGTAAAATGTTTTTTAATTTGACCAAAAATACTTTGCAATAGTCTGTCCGCCGCAAGGCACAAACTTTTCCTAGCTTTCGGAACCGAACAATTCTAAACGCCTCGCCACATATGAGCGAGTGCGTGGTCCTTGCACTTCTGTCCGTTTTGTCCGTTGTGTGTTGTCCGTTGTCCGTATTCTGTATTCCATAATCCGTTGTCTGTTGTCCGTTGTCTGTTGTCTGTTGTCTGTTGTCCGTTGTCTGTTGTCTGTCTGTTGTCTGTTGTCTGTTGTCTGTTGTCCGTTGTGTGTTGTCCGTTGTCCGTTGTCCGTTGTCCGTTGTCCGCTGACCAAAATAATAACTAATATTAAATTATAAAAAAGTATAAAACATACTTTTAAAATAGAAAATTATTTAAAGAATATATATATATATATATTTATATAAAAAGTGCTTACAAAACAAAATGTGTGGGATTGTCCTTGTCACCGACAAAAGTTAACAACCCCCGTCTCTTGGCGACTCACATGTAGCCAGTTCCTGGCTATAATAATAAAAATTGCACGTTACGCTTGGCTCCCTCGAAGGTGGCTGGTTTTACGGAGGATTTTCGGTAGCTGGACACAAGGCATATCAAAAAATATTGTACGCCCGGCTAATGTTTATGTATAAAGTGCCTGCCCCTGCTTTTGCTTTCCGAAAAAGTCCCCACTCTAGTAGTAGTAGCCCTGAGATCCGGTTTCGGTTGCACAACTTTTCGGTTGTTATTTTAAGTTAATGAAAATGTAAGACGACCCCTTCGGACGGAGGAGGGGGAAGAGGAGGTGGAGCAGCAGGCAAGTTTAACCGAATCTGAGTGGTCATTGTGGTAATGCAATGTTATGCGTACACATTGGAACGAAACAGGGCAGACAGAACACAGGGAGAGCCACTTAGGAAAACAGTTGGCAATTGTCGGGGGGAAGTATGTACAAGATTTAGCTTTAAGCCGGAATAAATCGGAAGAAAAATCTGAATATACGACTGAGGAAAGCATTTATGAGTTGCAAGGCTCAAAAACCATAAATTGAAGCATTGCCAGGAATATCCTTGAGACTGGACAGCATTGCCAGGTTAGAGAAGTAAGCGTATAAGTGTTGCCAGCCTAAACATTATAACTTGCGGCATTGCCAGACTCAAAAAGGAAACGTAATAATTGTGCAATACAAATTTAATTTACTTATTTTAATTTAATTTCTTTTATTTATATTATTTCTATAATTCCTTGATTAAAATTCAATAAATCTCTAATTTAATCTTTAAAATTCTTTAATTTAATTTCTTTAATTCTTTAAATTAATTTCCTTAATACTTTAATTTAATTTATTTAATTCTTTAATTAAATTTTTAATTCTCTTGTTTATTTTCATACATTATTTACTTTAGTTTCTTTAATTCCTTAATTGAATTTTCATTTATTCTTTATTTAAATTCCTTTAATTCTTTAATTTAATTTCATTATTTTTGTAATTTAATTTATACAATTCTTTAATTCTTTTATTTAATGTTTTATTTAATTTCTTAAATTCTTCAAATTCAAACCATTATTTAAATATTTTCCCAGTAATATACAATAATTTTCAGCTGCTAAAATAAATCGTCTTAAAAGATCTATTTATTTTATTCAATAATTCCTGCACTAACATCTGTAAATTAATTTAAAATCTTTTAAACAAAATATCGATTCAGCCGGGCAGCAAATGTGTCCAATAAATTTGCACCGCTAGCCGCCAAAAATTTTTAAATAAATAAATCTGAAAGTTATCTAAGCGTGTCCAAATTCGATTTACAGCTACCAAACAAAACAGAAAACCCAGGCGAACAGGCGAAAAAAAAAAAAGAAAATACAGTGTGAGAACTTTAAAATGGCAACAAAAAGCAAATTAAACAAAAAATATAAAACAAAACGGGAAGTTAACACACAGAACTTTGGCAATGAGAAATGGAATGAAAACAATTTGGCCAGACGCATATTTTTTTGCAAACATATATACATACATTCAGGATATATAGAGTACTATTTATTTTAAAATATTCCACTCGAACAGAGGTGAAAAAATTTACCATAAACAATGTGTGTGTATTAGAAGGCCAAAAAGTACAATTTGTGTGCTTGAATGATTTCATATCTTGAAAATTTGTACCTATTTTTATGGCAGTAAACTATTTTCCTTTTAGGAAGAAATTTCAAAGGTGTATGAATTTATTTGAGGAGTCAAAATAAGACTAAACTGAGATTTTTTTTTATGTCATATAATATTTAAATATATTATTCAATGGATAAGAGTCCGGGACATCATTGCCAGGCGCGGAAAAAAATGCATGGGGCTGCCAGCCAGAAAAAATAATATAATTACACTCATAAAAATATTTCTCTAAATTTAAGAAAAATTTGCCTAAAACTAAGAAAGTTTTTCTACAATTTCGAATACATTTTCTTAAATTTAAATCGAAGCAAATACAATTTAAAGTTAATTTTTATATTTTTTATTTTCTATATAAATTTTATAAATTATATAAATGAAAAAATAAAAAAATTATATGAATACAACAAATTTTAAAAACAAAAAATATTATAAATATTATAAAAATACAAAAAATATAAAAATAAAAAATTATAAAAATAAGAAATTATAAAAATAAGAAATTATAAAAATAAAAAAATTATAAAAATAAGAAATTATAAAAATAAGAAATTATAAAAATAAAGAAAATTATAAAAATAAGAAATATAGTTTAGTTGCTCTTGAATTTAGAAAATTATCAGCAAAAAACATTTTTTAGTGCAATTTTAGGTTAAAATTTTTATGAGTCCAACAGCATTCCCAAGTTAAAAAATATATACGGCAAAAAGTAAGACAAATCCTGACTGATTTCAATTTAAGTTTTGTTAAACTCAAGTCTGGTCACCCGTCAGACACCTTTTTCAGGTAATAATAAAATTCTAATATGTAAAATTCAATAATATGCTCTCTTTGTTGTGGTTGCCGGCAGGACTAGCTGCCGACTAAATGGTTTTGGGTCGGGAAAATAACGAAAAAGGGCAAACTCACCTCGCTGTGTGGTGGATAACGGTGTGATAGGTCCTAGTGGGTGGGCTGTATGTCCTGTAGGTCCTGCGGTGGAACTTTGGTTGGTGATTGTTTGTCTATTTATATGCTCATTATGTTTTCGCGCTTGTTTTACCAGCGAGCGAAACGGCAAGGATGCGACGAGGTTTCGTCCTTTGAATAATGCCCGGGCCATACATTGCGGTCAGTAGGGGGGGTGAGGGGAACGGCGGCCACCACTGGGACAAAGGATAGGCGGGCCCAAAAACATTGCGGAGGATGATGCAAAAAGCAGGGATAGCAATTTGCTGGCTCCTATTTTCTTCTTTTTTGGTCGTGACTTGACTGACTCCAGGGCGGGCATTGTCCTTACAATGAAACTGCTTGTCAATCACTTGTGTCCTTCGGTTTCCTTTCTTTTTTTTTATGCGCAGCGAAAGGGGCCACTCATCAATTAGTCAGCCTCTAATTAGACACCGAAAGAGAACAAAAAGCGAAGCCAGACTTTTGCTGCTCCTGAATGATGGTTAAAAAGGTGCCACCATTTTCCTGTTGCCCACTTGATGGCTAAAAAGGAGATGGATATATTTGCCAGGACTACCAAAGTCAACTGGAAACCTATAATGAGGCTCAGGTCCGCCAAGTTCTAGAAATTAACAAGTCATATGCTGTCTTGAGAAAGCACCTAAAAGAGTAAATATAAAATATTATATATAATATAAATATTATATAATATATATAATAATATATATAATATTATATTAAATTAAAATAAATATTAATGAAAACAAATAAAGTTTTAATAAATATAAATAAATATGAATAAATATAAATAAATATAAATAAATATAAATAAATATAAATAAATATAAATAAATATAAATAAATATAAATAAATATAAATAAATATAAATAAATATAAATAAATATAAATAAATATAAATAAATATAAATAAATATAAATAAATTTAAATAAAATTTAAATAAATACAAAATAATTTAAATAAATTCAAATTAATAAAAATAAATACAAATAAATATTAATAAAATATTAATAATATATGAATAAATATTAAAAATATATAAATAAATAATAATAATATATAAATAAATATTAATAATATATATAATTTTTTAAATAAATAATGTAAGTAATAAAAAATATTAATTGCTTTCAAGGAAAGAAGGTGTCAGGTAAATAATGACATATCTAAATAAATAAATATATTAAAAAACACAATACAAAATTAAAACTATTAGTAAACATTAAAGTCTACGATTTAAAGTTCTGCCAAATATTTAAAGATAACCTGCAGACCTGTCTGTGTATCGATATGAAACCGCATATTCCTGAAATTACATCCTTCAGCCATATGCACATACATACCTATATATGTACATATGTATGTAGGTATGTATCTGCGCTGACCACAAATCCCAGTTGATTTTCCAAGAGGAGGGGCTGCGAGACAGATCGGATTTCAGAGTTTTTCCCCAGGGACATGACCTGCCACTGAAATGAAACGTTTGCGGTTTTACTTCATAAACAATTTGTGTATATTTCATAAATATTTTTAAACAAATTTTCAGTGTCCTTTCAGTTTTGTTTTTTATTTGTTTTTTTTTTCAGTTTTCAGTTTGTTGGTTCGTTGCTTTGTTTGCATGGCGGTTACCATGTTTTATTTGCGGGAATTACACTTTTTCGCTTTGGGCGAGGAAGAGTCCCGCGCTGCAGCCGCAAAGGATCAACTTTTTTTTTGCAACCCAAAAAATGTCGCGAATATGGCAGAAAGTCAACTGCATATGTATATATATATATATATGAAATGTGTATTGTGGGCGGGAAATGAGTGGAAAGGAGCGAAGTCAAGTTCACAGTAAGCTATAGAATTTTTTTGGAATTGACCAAGATATGCAAAAAGTCACTTTGATAGATTTTTAAGGAGAGACATTTTTTTATTATTATTATTTTTAAATACATCCCCAGCTGTTGCTATTATTGCCGTATAGACTGTATTTCTGTCCTGGCAGCCATGTGCGTTTGTTTACACGCAGGACTCACGGGGCCTCGCAGGACACACACAAAAACCCACACACACACACACAGGACACGAAAGTTGCAGTAACCACCCGCTCATTTCCCCGCCCGTCCAGCAAACGCCCTCCCAAGGGTCATGTTTATCTTGCGCTTACACTGGGAAATTCCCTTAAACTTCTCATTCGTTGGCAGTGTTTTGGTCTGTTGCAGTTTTTCCGCACAGTTGGCTCCCCAAAGTATTTTATTGCCCATGCACGCGTACACAGTTTTCCAGTTTTCATGGCAATTTGTCCTGGGCCGCGGGGGCTGGGCTCGCGATGAGGTGAGAGGGTGTTGTGGAAAATGTTCGAAAAATCACCCGGAAAATTGTTCAGAATAATACAAAAATAAAATGAGAAACTGGGGGGGAAAGGGAATGCAAATGTTGCACTTCATTTGACAAGGGCGACACGGGGGACATCTGAGCTGGCCATTTTAATATCTGTGCAATTTTATAGCTCTTTTTTCTTCAAGATTAAAACATTTTTTCTGGTTTTTTATGGAATGTTTGGTTGTTTGTTTTTGGAGTTTTTCTTTAAAATTTGTTCTTTTTATTAACGGAAAATGCATTTTTTTGAAATTGGTGGAAAGCTTTAAGTTTTGCGTGCACAAAATGTGCTGTTAGGCGCATGTTAGACAAATAATTTCGATCAATTTCTCACAAACTAATAAAAAAAAAATATATATATTTCTAAATATATAAATAAATATTTATAAATAAATAAATAAATATTTATAAATAAATAAATAAATATTTCTAAATAAATAAATAAATATTTATAAATAAATAAATTAAGGAAACATATAAAAAAATAATTATAAAAAAAAGTAAATAATTCTAAAAAATAATTATATAATTCTAACTAAAAACCTATAAATAAATTAGTAAACTTTAACAGCAACTATTAATGTTAATGTTAATGTTACAAAAAGCTATTCAGAAAAGCTGTATTCCTCCCTGTCTTTCAACCAAGTTAACATCGAGACAAGCTTTACCGTCTCTTCTTCTTGCCCGCCCGTGAAATAAGAACAAGTTTTGAGCTTTTTTGATTCTGATTTTAGTTTGGTTTCATTTCTTTATTTTCCGTTATGCTTTTAGTTTGCTTTTGTTACTGGCAAAAATGATGAAAAACCAAAAAATAAACACACTTTCGATAAATACTTTGACGGCATTACTTTCCTTTCTTTTTATGTAGTTGTTGTTTTTTTACCTAACAATAATATGACAAGTATGAAATACGCTTAATTTTGTTGTTTTTACAGCTTACAACTAAAATTCCTCTTAAACACATTTTGCCCAATATAATAATAATAATGATAATAATAATATTTAATAACAGCATTTTCTTGTTTAACTTATAAGCAAGTAGTTGAGTGTGAAGAAGGAACAAAATGAAAAAATATTTCTTTTCTTAATGAAATTTGGAATTAATGCAAAATATTTGTAGTGTCCAAAAAGAATACATATATATATATATTTTAATGCAAAAAAAAAAAATGTTTTTATTTCTTAAATTAAATTAAATCCATAAAACGGATATTCAATAATTTCTCTTGCACACACACATACATATATTTCGATATATACATACACTGCTTCTGTTTCTTGTTCTTGTTTTGGGTTTTTTGTATGTTTTAAACATAGTTTTACTTTTTTCTTACTTTCTTTCTTTCTTCTTTTTTTTTTGTGTGTATTTTAGTTTAGTTTGTTTTTGTATTGATTTTTTTTTTTTTAGTTGTAGCTTGTAAGGATTTTGGAAATTGTTTAATTATTATACACTTTTCGCTTAGGTTTAATTAAATCATCGAGAAATCGAGCTTCTCATTTTCTTTTCTTTTTAGTTTTGGTTTTCTTTCTTTTTTTTTTAGATAATTTGAAACGCAAGAAATTTAATTTCTTGACTGACTTTTTGTTATAATTTCTACAGAAAAAAAAAACATATTTAATACGAAAAGTATGGGATTTGTGTGTGTTTTCTTTGTGTTCTAACTTCTCTTTTCTTCTTTTTTTTTTTTTGACAATAAAATGTAATCAGTTCTTTGAGTTCTCATTTTGTCCAAAAACGTATTTAATGTAATCCAAGCAGCTCATCATCATATATATATACGCTTATACATAAATAGATAATAATAATATTATCGTCGATTATTGTTTACGTTGGCATATAATGCCGAGAAATTTGTTTTAATTAAGCCTACTTAAGTTACTAATTTCTCTCTCTCTCTCACTCACTTTCTTACTCCTCCTTTCTTACTCCTCCTTTCGTACTCCTCCTTTCTTACTCCTCCTTTCTTACTCCTCCTTTCTTACTCCTCCTTTCTTACTCCTCCTTTCTCCCAAGAGATATGAGACACAAAAAAAACAAGAAAAAAAAAATAAATATTCTCTTATTAATCCTAAAACCTCGAATAATGTACAATGTCCTATGTCCTGCGGCTGGACCTTCCTCAGAATGGAGCATCACCCGCATAGGCCCAGGGATGCACCCAAGGTGCCGATGGTGGCGGCGTTGGCGGATATATCGTTGGCGATGGCTGCCCGTGCTGATGATGATGGTTTGTAGCTGCTGCTGCTGTTGCGTTTGCTACTGCTGCTGCTGCTGCTGCTGCCGCCGCTGCCGCTGCTGCATGATGATGATGGTGATGATGATGATGCGCCGCTGCTGCTGCTGCCGCCGCTGCTGCTGCCGCTGCTGCATGCTGCTGGTGATGATGATGATGATGCTGATGATGCTGATATGGTGCCGTAAAGGATGCTGCCGCTGCTGCTGCTGCTGCTGCATTGCCATAATAAGAGGCAGCCGCTAGGGCAGCTGCTGCTGCTGCCGCCGACGATGACGACGACGACGTTGACGACGATGTCGGCGAGGTGGAGGAGTTGGTGGTGGAAGAGGCGGCAGGCGATAGGCTGGCTATACCAGCAGCACATACACTGTGCCTTCGGTGCATTATATGACGAGATGCCGCCTGCTGGGGCTGTGTGGGTCGCGTTGCCAAACGACGCTGCTGCTGTTGTTGTTGCAGCTGCTTCTGTTGCTGCTGCTGCTGCTGCTGTTGCTGACGCAGTATCTGCTGCTGCTGATGCTCCCAATCGGGCAGCGGTGGACTCAGCATACTGGCCGCCGCCTTGCCATACAAATTCGACAAATAGGCATGCTCCGCCTCGGCCATCTTTTGGGCCGCCGACTTGGTTGTTGTCTTGGTAATGGCCGGTTCTGCATGTTGACGCTTTTTAAGCAAACGCTGCTGCTCGTGTTGCATTGCTGCTTGATGTTGGTGCTGCTGCTGCTGCTGTGGCTGTGCTGGTTGTTGTTGGTTGTGGGAGTACAACATTTCGTATGTGTTGCTGCTGATGTGTGTTGAAGGATGTAGTGATGAGGATGATTTTTGCTTCTGCTTCTGTTCCAGATCCTGCTGGGTGGGTGCCGGTGGTGGGGCCAAAGCCACGCGTCTGCTAAGATTCGCTGGCGGCGTTAAGGCGCGTCTTCGCTGTGACCCAGCTGATCCTCCTCCTCCTGATGATGATGATGATCTGTTATGGTTTGTAGTTGCAACTGCTGATGCTGCTGCTGCTAATGATGATTTTACATTGATTGTTGCTGCTGTTGTTGTTGTTGCTGTTGTTGTTAATTGTTGTTGTGGCAAATGTTGTGCTCCCCAGCTTAATTCCTAGCTTGTGCGCGTCCTCTTGGCCGGCGGCTGCTCCGATTGACGCGTCATAAATGTCAATTGTGTCATATATTTGATTATGTCGCGCACCTGCACTAGAGGCATATTCTCATTGTAATTCCTATCAAATTCCATTAGAATTTGCACCTGTCGCCTGTGAGAGAAAGATAAAAAGTTAATCTTTATGGAAATAAAATATAAATCGTATTTCACTTACCGATTCGCCTTGTAAAGCTCCACGCCCAGCGCCTCTATCAAACGCTTGCAATGATCCAGCGGCACTGATGGAAAGAAATTCTTTTGGAATTCAATGAGGGTCATTAGCTGTTCGGAATCATTGTAGGCCTTCATATTGATGCACGGCACCAGATGCTTATCCACGCAAACCCTTTGCACCTTGTATGGCGTTAGATTCATATTATTCGCGGGTATCTCTGGGATAATGCATAACCTTTGGGCACTATCCGCTGCAGCGGCTGCCGCCAATGCTGCATGCCTTTGCAGATGCATTGAGGCACTGTTCGAGGATCCACCACCGCTTGAGCCAGAGTTGGATGAGTTACCACCAGTGGAACCATTACCAGTGGTGGAGGAATTACCACCACTACCGGTATTATTATTACCAGTTGATGAATTATTACCATTGGAGCCACTTGGATTTGAATTCGTATTGCCAGAAGTTCGTCCATTTTGGACATGCTGCTGCTGCTGGGCATGATGAGCGGCTGCTGCGGCCATACGCTGATGCTGGGCAACTGCCGCTGCTGCCTGTTGTTGTTGCTGGGCCACCACTACGGATGAATGCTGCTGCTGCAGGTAGGCTGCCGAGGCTGCCAATGACCTTCGAGAGGAGGACAGATCGATAACGTCAGTGGGTGGTGTAACTGTGGATTGTTGTGTACTGATTGTTGTGGTGGATGTGTTATGGCTACTACTATTATTGTTACTATTACTGTTGTTGCTGTGTGACTGACGACCATAATTGTTGCTGTTGTTGCGACGCCCCATTCCCGTTGGATGATTATGATTATTAACATTATTCCCATGTCCACCATTATTCCCGGCCAGCGAGAGTATGGCCATGGGTAGGCTATTACTTTTTGTGGAACAAATCACACTCTTCTGTCGACCACCACTCCCGCTGTTGCTGCTGTTGCTTCCGGCGGGTACTGTTGCTCCTCCTCCTCCTCCTCCTCCTCCTGCGCTCATGTTACTACCTATACCTAATCCTAAACCTAAACCTAAACCTAGACCGCTAACGCCATTGCTGCTACTCAGTGGACTTGCTGCCGTATTGGAGGCACTGGAGCTGGAACACGAACTGGAGGGCGAGTGAAGAAAGTGTCCTGGTGGCAATTGTGGCGTTATTGTCACATTCGGATTGGAGGCCAGAGTTAGAGTGGCCACATTGCTTAAACCACCGCCTCCCACCATTGCCGGTGACATTGGTGGTGATATATACGATGGTAGCAAGTGACCACCACCACCACCTCCACCTCCTGCTGCTCCTCCTCCTCCTCCTCCTCCGCTGCTATTGTTTGTCTGTATAAATGTTGAGAGATCCGGATTGGCCAACACCTTTTGTATAACCGCACGCATCTCATCCGTCATCACAGTGCACTTTTTGGCAAAATCCTCCAGAGCTTGGGTGGAGTTTAAGGGTATAGTGGTGCCACTGGCCGCCACTGGGGGTGGAGCAGCTTCACCTCGACTGCTACTGCTACTCCGGCTGCCGCTCTTCGTTAAACTTATCTCAGCAGATCCGCTGCCATCGGAGATTAATGGCGGCACAATGGGTTTCGTAAATGTCACCACATTATTATTGTTGTTGTTGTTATTGCTCATTCCCTTTGACTTGTTCACTTTATTGGGATTATTATAGTCCAGCATGGTTATTAGATCCGTGTCCAGGGGTAGTGAGGGTAATGCAGGAAAGTTCTTATTATTGCCAGATCCTCCTCCTCCTCCGCCGCCACCACCGCCTCCCAGGCCTGGTGTGTTGGCACCTCCTACTCCTCCTCCTCCTCCTCCTCCTCCTGCTCCCTTCAACTGTTGACTAAATAGCAATCGTTGGGCGGGTGTCAGTTGATTCCACAAAGCTAGATTGGTGTAATCTGCACGTGTCGAGGGCAGGTTGTAGTTGAAAGAAGCTCCCGAAGAAGCTCCAGTTCCGGCAGTTCCTGTTCCGCCAGCTCCTGCTGCTCCTCCGGCTCCACTGCTTCCTAGCAATGCCTGAACATAGCCAGCTGCTACAGCAACTGCTGCAGCAGCGGCTGTCGAGGAGTTGGCGGCAGGAGAGTTTGATGAGGAGGAGTTGCCAACACCACCACCACCGTTCATGTGGCTGTTTTTGGCTAAGGCATGATGATGGTGATGATGTTGGTGATGGTGATGTTGGTGATGGTTGTTGTTGTTGTTGTTGTTACTACTGTTGTTGTGTGAAGAAGAGTGTTGGAGTTGTTGTTGTTGTTGATTGTTGTAGGTGCTGTTCTGGTGTCGTTGTTGTTGTTGGTGTTGAGTCTGTTGTTGAACCAGCTCGACATTTGACCTAGAAACATTATATACAATACACATAAGTTGACCGCCCCGAAAATCTTATTTTTCTTCTTTTTTTTCATGTGTCTTTTTGTTACTTTATTGTTATTGTTGTTGTTTTTTTTTCTGTTGTGTTATTTGTATTTACAATTTTTTAAATTTATTTTTTTTTTGCATTTTTCAGGTGTTTTTGTTGTAATAGGTTTCTTCTATATAAAAAAAAAAAAATAATAAAATACATTTGCAACAGGACTAGTTCTTTCTTGCGATCTTTGGGGGGGTCTGCACTAGACATATACGCCGCCGCGCCCACGCCGCCGCCGCCGCCGATTTTTGCCTTATTTGACGCGCCGCCGCCAAATTATGAAAATAACGGCGCGCCGCGGCGCGCCGCTGGTGCGGCATCGGCGCAGCTTCAGCGCGGCCTTCAGTGTCATTGTTCTTTATAAAACTTTAAAAAAAATAAATAACTCATTAAAATGGCCTTTTTGCCTTATTTGACGCGCCGCCGCCGCCGGTTCTTTCTGACTACTACGCCGCCGCCGCCGAGTCATTTTGACCTCTACGCCGCCGCCGATGCCTTTAACCATCGGCGTAAACCTCTAGTCTGCACTGCACTGGCTTTATTTTGCTCTGATCTGTTTTCTTGCTTACATGTTTTTGCTTGCTGTCTCTTGCTTGTCTTGATGTTTGCATTGCTCATGTCTTGTTTTGATTTCATCCACTGCACTTGCTCTTGTTCTATTAATTCCTCTGGTCACTTCTTTTAACATATTGGAGACATCGATAATTCGATTGCCTTTGCCCTCGCGCTCGACGTCTGCCGATGAAAAACAAATGAGAAACCAGAGGCAAATAGTCAATTTATCGATGTTGTTGTGATGTTTTATATATCGTTTTTAATCGTTGTTATTGACTAATTATTGTTGTTGTTGTTTGCTTGTTGTTGTTGTTGTAGAAATAGTTGTGGTTGTGGTTGTTGTAGTTTTCTCTCTTTGCTCTCTGTTCTTGGCTTTTTTTTGTTTTTGGGTTAACTTGTGACTTAAGCTTGTTGCTTGTGATAAAAAACCATATTTAACAAAACAAAAAAAAACACACACAAAAGCTTATATTTTCTATATTTTTCGTCCTGACATTTATCGAAATAATTTTAGGTATACGTAATATATATTTTCAACTTGTACACGCATTATATATAATGTATCTAGGTTCTGTTCCACTTTTTTTAACCTTTTTTTGTTGAGTGTATGTTTGTTGTTGCTGTTGTGTTGTGTATGTGAGTGAGTGAGTAAGTGAATGAGAGAGGGGGGGGTAGAGAGAGAGAGATGAATGGAGGTGGAGGTGGGGCCAAACGGGGTTAAAAAAAACCTGCCACCACCAATAAAAAAAAGCTTGTTCTCAGTTGGCGCTGCTTCGTTTTATTTTTTTTCCTTTTCATGTTTCTTTTTTGTTTTTTTAACTTTTTCGCGTCGTGAGTCACCCCGTTAAATGTGTGCGTGTATATGTGTTTTGGTATGTATGTGTTTGTATGCGCGCAACAAGAAACCATTAGGGGTAGTCAGTACACACAGCCTTTACAATTGTAAAATTCTTGACAATTGTTTTATTTTTTGTTAACTAATTCTCTATATAATTTAATAAATATATATATATATTTATATTTAAAAATAAAATATATATAAATATAATTTTAGCTATAGATTAATGTAAATTCAGTTGGGTGTTTCTATATTTACCATTTTAAATACGATTTTATGTTTTTCAAAATATATATGTTGTAGTTCATTTTTTATAATATTTTTTGTTTTTTTTTTTAATACTCTTTAAAAAGAGCTTTATATTTTTTTGTTTATATTATATATCAGACAAGAAGGAAGAGTAAAAAAAAAAAGGAAAACAGAACAGAAAAAGTAAGTTTTTTTTTTTTTAAGAGCAAAAACATTAATTATAATATACAAAATAAGGGGTTTCATTCCATTTGAAAGAAAAATAAACAAATACATTGTACAAATATGCTTTATTGAATAAATTTATATATATTTATATAGAGTATAAACTTTATTCTACTTTCCATTTAAACTTAATTTCTTTGTTAAGGACTTAAGGACATGCAATCGCTAGGAGGAATACCATCCGATTTATGCTCTAAAAACACAAGAAACTCCTTACAGCAGGATGATGTTGTGTATATGTACAGGATGCGAGCCTTGGTGCATTTTTCGAGGAGTGTGTGTGTTGTGTTTTGTCTGATGAGTGTGTGTGTTGTGTTGTTGTTGGTTATTTATTTGGTTTTAGTTCTACTTTCGACTGGGCTTAATTCTGAAGTACATGTGTGTGTGCGTGGTTAATCCCAATGCGAGCGTTAATAGTGTATAGATATTCCAATTTGTCACGCCTCCGAGAGAGAGGTATCGTTGTTTATAACTTTGTTCTTTTCAGTTAAAACGTCTTTTAATAACACATAAAAAAAATAAAATAAAAAAAGAAATAAGCGCGTGGGTTAGTAAAATGTTTGGAAATTTCGTTTTACTTTAGTTTTTAGGGGGGATACAATTTTTTAGTTTTAAGAGTGCGGGAGATAATGTAGTTTTTTTTTTATATATATATTTTTTGAAAAACATAAAATCAAAAAACTACCAACGCACAAACGCGAGAAAAACAACTAAATTTATCTAACACATACACACTGAATTAACAATAATTAAATAACACGCAAATGCAGTTGATCTTTTTCTTGGTTTTTATCATTTTAATCTCTAATTTAAAACAAATTTTGTTAAACGACTTTTAGAAAATAAAGCTCAAATCTTTATGTGTGGCATGACGAAGGGCAGAAAGAGAAAGACAAAGAGAGAGAGAGAGATAGAGAGAAAGAGCGAGAGAGATGGGTGAACACCTAGTATTTATGTTTGTAATATTTTATAGTAAAACAAAACACAGATAACAATTTTTTAATATAATGCGTGCTTCCAAGAATTTCGGTAATTATAATATATTATATTTTAAATATTCAAATGTGTAATAAAAAAAATGTGTGCAAATTATTCTTTTTATTTAAGAGAGAGAAAATAGTAAGAACAACAAGTGTTATACCCTTAAATTGAAAATCGTGTGGCACCCTGATAGCTTTTCATTTCAGAATTAATTGTAATAAATTTGTTTTTATATATATTATTTAATAACAAAAATAGTATATAGTATAGATTTGAATTTAAAAATCGTGTGCCACCGTAATGTTATTTATTTACTTAATATTTATTTTTAATTTGTTTTATCAGAATTGCTTTTGCTTTTTTTATATTTTTTTTTATATTTATTTTTTTAACGGCAAAGAGAGCAAAAAGAAACAACTTCAAAATGAAATGTATATATTCATATACAAAATGTCATCAAAATAAGCAAACAAATAAATATATTTAAATGTATGTGTAGTGTGACACCCTAGTGGCTGAGAAAATTTCAGACTTAAGCAGCGATTTCTCAATGTCAAAGCCTTTCGAATTTCCCCCCCCAAATAACTACTACACCCCAGCATTTATACGTTCGTAATCGATTTACTATTTACTGCTACTAAAGCATTATTTAAGAATAGATACTAATTAAGCACGCGCCACGCCCTTCAAAACTCATTGATTTTTCGGGCCTAGACATTGAGAACTCAACCCTTATTAGAGCTACTTAGTAAAATGTGCTTATTATAATAATAATAAGAATAATAATAATTTATAATAACAACAACAGCGAATAAAGTAGAGGAATATATTGTTTTTTTGTTTGATATATATTATTATTTTTTTTTTTTTTGTTTTGCAAAAACGAATTACAACAAAAATTTGAAAAACACAATTTCTGCGCGGATTTTTTGAATCCGAGATATAAAATAAAATAAACAATACTAAATTTTAACAAATGTAAATATATATATATATATATATATATATTATATATATAAATATATATATATATAGTTGTAAGGGAAAAAAAGGGGAAAAATCTTTTTTTTTAATAAATTATATATATATATTTATTTTATTTATTATTTTTTTTTTTTTTTAATAGGTTTGCAGTAGTGGGAGGTGGGGGGGAAATAGTGATAGACATTGCTACTATTAAGATTTGTGGTATGTACTTACAAATGATTGGCATTCTGACCAGCCGCCGAACGTACAAGTGGCGGTGGAGCATTACCGCCACCGCCGCTGTGACTGTTCACCGAGGACATGGAGATCGCAGGATTGTTGTAGGAATACGGTTGCCGGCCGCTGCCGCTCATCATAAGATTATTCATGTGCTCACGGTAGCTGCCCACGCGATTAGCATTCGCATGCGTTTGCTAAAAAGAGGGAAATTAAAGAAAATGTAAGTCCCCTATAGAATACTTGATTCTCAAAACTATAAAACTATATACTTCTTCTGATACTCCACTTAGCCTTCTTTAAAAAAAAATTATAGAAATATATTTAAATGTATAATATATTCACTAATATCTTTGACCCAGTTTCGATGGTATTATAAACTTAAGATTGCAATTACTAATGCATAAACACTAAGGCGAAGAAGGCGGAAGTTAATTGCATCATTTAACTCAAACTCAATATCGATTAATGGCCTCCTATTAACCATTTAAAGGCCTTTCTCGTTCTATTTTTACGTTTTAATGTGATTACGTTTACGATTTATAGTTTCGATTTGATAAGATTGCCATTACTCTCAATATCAAGTTCAATAGCACTAAGTTTATTAATAATAATATATATTAATGTAAAAAAAAAGAGAGCAAGAGCTAGATTTATGGTAAACATCAAATTGAAAACTGCTTCAATGAAAATATTTAATAGAAATAATATTAAAACCTTAAATTAATTTTTCGAAATAAGAATACTAATAGTTTTAACTTTAACAGTAATATAATCAATAAGATGCATTTCATAATTGCTACAGAAATCTCTGCCTTTTCAACAATTCTTTCTTTTTTAAACCTAAGGCCAGTTTTAGAGTTTATATTCTTGTAAAAAAGAACAAAAAACTTCGGAAAGCGGAAATTGGCAGTCTACCTTAGGCTCGTGACAACGAATCAAATCAAGTCAATCATAACTATGCCAAAAAATCATAAAATGCAATTTGGAAAGCTGTTCTGTGCTAGTTTTTAATAGTTTAATAAATCTGTTTACTAAATTTTAAAATATAAGAAATCCAAAATTTTTGGAAATTTTTTACCTTCCAAAATTATTATTTAGCAATTAAAATAAAAAAAAAATTGAATAAAAATTTTTCTTCCGAACAAGGCTAAAAAAGACTCCCCAGTTACTCACTACTTTGCTAGCTTCTGACAAAATTATAATGCCCTCCAAAGGTATAAAAATTTAAAAAAAAAAATATATATAGGGTTTGAAAGAACTTTTTTTGATCGTTAGTAAAGTTCTCTTAAAACAAATAAAACTACAATTTATAAACCAATTTTAAACATTAATTAAATCAAAACGTTTTCATTAACAATTGTAGAGCTCTTAATTTTATACAAAATATGTAAAAGAAATTCGCCTTAAAGAAACTTTACTGTGTATTTACAACAAAACAAAAAAAGGCAGCAACATTAACGTCAACAGGTTGTTGGCAACACGTTAGACAGAGAGAGGGCTGGCTTTTGTCTGGGAGGAAGTCTAGGAGCGGGAGCGAGATGGTGGTGGTGGTGGTGGAGCCACCGACTACTCTCCTCTATGCACACACAACCGATTCCGATACCGATGCCGATGCCGAGTTGACCTAGTTTCCAAAAGCTGACGTCGCTGCTGCTGCTGCGCTGTCGTTGCCAAACTGTGAAAAAATCAGCTAGCTTACACACACACAGCGACAAGAAAGAGAGAGATATTATATAGCCCAGCGCATGTAAGTTTGTAAGCGAGGCCAACTAAACATGGTCATGCACTCCACACTCTACTCCACTGCCTCCCCATGAATAAATACCTCCCTGCATCTCCCACCTCCCCCCTTCTTTATAATTCCCCGATCGCTGGCATTACCAAGTTCTTTGAGCCAAGATGAACGAAGGCAGTAGCAGAAGAGGCAGAACTGAGAGTGAGGTAAAAGTCTTTGGCTTAAGCTTTTCCCCATTGGCAAACACAACAACAAACATGTTTTAAACAGCAAAATTCCTCCAAGCGGAGTGACCTAATTTCCAAAATACACCATGTATCCATGGGGGTAAGTGGAAGATTTTCAATACTCTAACAATAGTGAAAATATTATTAAGAAATTTATATTCCTTAATCCTTCAATGAAACAACAACAAAAAAGTATATTCTTATGAAATCGAATCTCAAAATCTTATCTACCTAGGGTCACAATAATCATCATCTCAAAGTTGGATAGCTTTAGGTTTCCTCTCGATTAATATTTATATCAGATAGCTATATTCATGGGTGTGTGTATTCACAATATTTTCCATTACTCATATTAATGAGTGCTGGAAAGCCAAAAATCTAATTTCTATATAGGTCAAATCTTTACCTTATCTGCTAAGCCACAACTACAACGAAAGCATATCTCGAAAATGAGTCATTATGGAATCCAGTACATTCTAGTAACAAATAAGAAAATATATAGACCACGTGTTAATATTAATTATATATATTTATATATTTATATATTTATATATTTATATATTTATATATTTATATATTTATATATTTATATATTTATATATTTATATATTTATATATTTATATATTTATATATTTATATATTTATATATTTATATATTTATATATTTATATATTTATATATATATATATATATATTATAAATTATTAAAATTATTTAATTTAAAGCCTAATTTTATAAATTCTCTATAAATCTTGAAAAAGAGTTAAAGAATTAATAGATTCCATTTATAAATTAATCCAAAGATCGATGAACTCATTTAAAAATAAAGTACAAATTGCGTCTATATCCCTTAAATCCCTACATATCCCTTTTTAAAACATTAAAAATGATCCTCCCTTGTACTCACCATTATCTGGGCATGAAGCTGCAGGTTACTCTGTCCGGACATCCAACCGCTGCTGGCCAGCGCCTGAACGGTGGCCTGCGACAGCATCCGGTTATTGCTCTGAGACTGTGAGAGCATTGCCGCCGATGCGGCTGCCGCCACTGCTGCTTGCGAGTTGAAGGCCGCTGCCGCAGCTGCTGCTGCCTGGGAGGCCCCAAAGCTATTGGCCGCGTTGGGTACTCCGCCGCCGCCACCTCCTCCACCATTGGCATTGGCCGCGGCGGCTGCTGCGGCGGCGCGTTGCTTCATTAGATGCTGCTGTTGGGCTGCCGCCGCCGCTGTCACCGCTGAAGCATGCTGCTGCTGTTGTTGCTGCGACTTGGACTGCACCTGACCGCCGGATGACGAATTGCTAATTGCATTGCCGCCGCCTCCGGAGGATCCTGATCCTGATCCCGATCCCGAACCAGCTGTTGAGCTCGTTGTGATCTTTGGCGGTGGTGCCGAGGGCTGGCGTGTCCAATTAACCGAATTATTGACATTCGCACGATTGCCAATCAGGAGATTCGAGTCGACCACCTTGCTGGGCCAGTAATCCTCAAATTCGGTGCCATTGGGGAAGTAGCTTTTGATGTCCGTTAGCGAAATGACTGCCACATTCTCGCTGGAAAAGAGCTCATTTCGAATGCCCTGCACTTTGCAACAGAACTTCAAATAGGCCAAATCCCAGCCATTAAGGAGTTCAGCCTTTGTCTTTAAATTCTCCGTTTCGCCCTCAAAGTAGAACAGAGGCACAACCTGCTGGCTATTCCGTACTGTATATGGGACAACCGATTCCTTATTGATCCTTATGAAGCCGCATTTTTCCGACGGAGTCTTGCTTCCGGAGACCAGTTTGCGATAGCAAATATCCAAAAATTGATAGAATTTACTTGCATCGCTGAGACGCACCACCAGATCCTTCTGGGTGAAGATATCACGTCCGAATTCACCGTCACAGTGCTTGTGATTGATCTCGATAAAGAGACGAGCTTCCGCGTCCGTTATGTAGTAGCTGCGGACGCATGTGCAGCTTGAGTAGATATCCGGATGCAGACAGTTGAGGTATTTGCCCAGTAGCTTCAGTTCGATCATGCGCACCGAGCAATATTTCTCTGATTGCCGATAAATGTACGGTATATAGACTTTACCAAATTGCGCCCAACCAAAGTGTCCCATTACAGATTCCTCGTCGCAGGGTCCGGATTTCTTTTCGGCTGCCGCCGCGGCCGCTGCAGCAGCAGCAGCATCTGTTGTTATACCATTGGGACGGACGCCATTGGCGCCGCCAGCTAATGCCGGTACCACTTGCATGGTTCCATTGGGTAGCTTCTGATGGCGCGACAGGTAGCTCATGATATTCGTCTGGCCGTTGCCATTGGTTATTGGCGGTTGCATCTGTCCAGCATTGCCTCCATTCGAGTGCTGTTGCATCGCCGCTTGGCGGGATGCCTGCTGGGCGGCTTGTTGCTTCTGTTGTTCTTTCATTTTAGCTGCCAATTCACGGATTTCGGCGTCATCGGCACGCTCCTGTTTGACAGGCGGAGCCACGGGACCGCCGAAGCCGACGCCAAGAAGAGGCAAAGTCTGGCCATTGCTATCGATGACGAGAACTATCTGCACATCCTCGTTGGCCATGGCTTCCTCTCTCTTTCTCACTCTCTCGAGAAGTCACCCTTCTCTCTCTCTCTCTCTCGTTGATCCTCTCCTTTCGCTTCCTTTTAATTGTTTGGCGCTTCTTATTAATTCTTTAGTTTGTTGTGGTAGTTGTTTTCACAGTTTGATTTTAGGGGCTATGCATAAAAGAACACATTTATATTTTGTTATTAATTTTATAGACTCGGTAATACGCTTATTTAAATTGGTAGAAAGAACAAAAAAATAAACAAATACGGAACAAATAAGAGAGGGGGCACGCACGCACGCACGATGTACAGCGGAGAGAGCCGGCATAAAATCGCTCTCTCTTTATGGTCACACTGGCCCCGGCTCACCGCTCACTCACACACTCACATGTACACGCGCACACGGTAAATCGTTTCTGTGTGCAGGTTTGTGCGTATGTATGCGCAAGGCGCGCACTTTTATAGTTGTTGTTTTTTGTTGTATATAATTATTCATACATATATCACATGTATGACTGTATATATTGCTTACACTTACACATACGAGCGCTGACTGCATGTCTGCAGTGTGTGGCAAAAAAATATAATTATTTTAGGCATTTGTTAGCTGCTACTGCTTTCTGTTTTTGTTGTGTTATATATTCCTCATTGGCTGGCGTACAAAAAAAAAAAAAAATAAAACAAAATAGCGTTGTTGATGCACCGCACTAATATTTTATCCCGCGTTTAGCGCTTTTTGCGACCTTTTTCACTACACCCGCTGCGTTATCGCCTTTTGTGTTTCGCGTGTTTCGGTTTCTCGCGTTTTTCGCTATCTAGCTCTTCCGACGCCGACGTACGTCCGCCCGTCTCCGCAATACAAACGAGTGTGATCGTTGTTACGAAAATTATTTCAACGAAGTCAACTGAAAAATGTGTGCGCACACATACACACACTGGCGAGGCGCACACGCATACTAGTGTGTGTGCGGGGGACGCGGCGTCGGCAGCGACGTCAGCGGCGGATGCAGAGCGCAAAAGAAAACGGAAAACACGAACACTACGTAAAAACAACAACAAAAACCCACATAGATGTCGCCGCTGCCGGCGTCGCTGCAACGCTGCCACCGAACATTTTGCCGAATTGTTGTTCGTGTCCCCCTTTTGTGCATTTCTTCCTCCGCCCGCCACCTCTCTCTACCACTCAATCTGTCTGTCTCTATCTCTCCCTCCCTCTTTCCCTCTCTCTTACTCACTATGTGTTGTCATCCGTTTCTCTTCCTCTCCTCCTGCTTTCCAGCAAGCGACTAGCTCTAAGCTGCGACGGCGACCGCGACGGCGACGCCGACGTTGGCTGAGTGTTACAACTTACAGTGGTTAAACAATTGTATGCAACCCGGAGCTTAACGGGATCTCGGGATCAATTTACTTTATTTTTTAATTTATCATGAATATCACCAGATGACTATCCGATCTTATATGAAGCTACATACATTGTCAGACACCTTTTACATGGCTACTATTGAAACAATAAGTCTGCTGATTTTGTTTAATCCAACAAATAGTGTAAACTTTCCCTTGGCTTGGACCATTTACAAAAGTATTTTCCCCACTGTGCAAGGAAAGCTTAAGCTATGCTATTCTCATATACAGACACACACACAGAGACCGAGAGCTGCTCTGCCAGAGATTATTGGTAATGGTGTTGGTGTCGGTGGTGTGGTGATGATGATGTGGCAGTGGTAGTGTGGCCGTGGTGTGGGTGGCTTTCTGTGGGCGGAGGCGTGGCGGGGGCGTCTCTATTTTTGGCAGTCAGCAAGCAAGACCCTGCTTAGCATTCGATGGGCCGCGGCCACCTCTCCTCTACCCCTCCCACCCTAGCACCCGCGTTTCCAATCACCCCGTCCCTTTTGCTACACGTCGAAATGCAAGAAGTTTTCGGTATTCGCGCGCTCTGAGGCCTCAAGACAGGCCCCGTTCCAGAGCGGAGAAAACCGGGAGCGAAACGAGCGCCGCACACGAAGTTTGCCGACAACGACGAGCAGCTGTCGTGTCAACATCGGGTGTATCGGTGTGTTGTCCGCGTGTCCGTGAGTGTGGGTATGTCTGCCTTTGTGTGGGTGCCAGCTGCGCAGCGCCGAAAGGTCGGCTCAGCTCTAAACATTTACCCAAAATTTAATTAGCTCTCGGGTCCAAGAGTCCAAGTCGAATTCCATTTGGCTCGCTATGACACGAGTTAGCTGACAGTTAAAAGGCGCCCAGCCCCCCGCTGACAGGTACAGTTGGATCCTACAAGGGTCCTCCGATATTGATTGCATTTGTTGAATTTGGAAGTTGTTCATCTTTAATTTTGGGAAATTAAGAAGCTTTACCAAAAGTACAGTCGGATCTAAACTGGTTTCTCACAATAATATTAGCTTTGGACTATATTATACTTTATATTTTTAAAAGTAACAGTACTCAGGAGAAGTTCAATACTGATCATAACACATCGGATATTTACTCAATTGTTTGTATTGTAGAAGTATTACCTTCCTATATTTCGTAGAACAGCCAGCTGTTCTGCTCATTATAATCTATAAATAAAGGTAATCCTAGGTAAATGTAGTATTACCAGGGAACCTAATCGATATCAATAAACCTTTTTATGCTTTTCTTTCTCTTTCTAAGTATATGTACAAAGTGTAAACTAAGCTTTTAAAAAGGTATTCGCCTAGCACCTAAGCTTTAATTGACGTTGTTTATTTTCTCATAATTATCCCAATAAGTACTATTTAATATTACAAAGCTCCGTTTTTAAGGGTACTCGAGTGTCGACCAATAAAACCGGAAACTTATTTATAGTTGGCTCAGTGCATTGGTTTCAGGTGTCACCTGGGCATTGTGTGACCCATCTCCCAGTGCGTGTCTTCTTTCCTTTCTCTACGCATTACCTCCCATTCCCATTCAGTTCCGTTCTCTTCTGCCTCATTCTGTAGTTACGAGCGCCGGGGGTTTTTTGATTTTGGTGTTTTGCTTTGCTAATTAGTCAGCTGTGTGTGGGTCTTACCCGTTTTTTTTTTCTTTACTTTTTTTTTTGTTTTGATTGCGGGGCTTTTCTCCCAATAACTTATGTAAACCACTCTAAAACTGGGTTTTTTTTGCGTACATACATATGTAGATACATATTTATGAATGTATCTATAGGATGTACTTATATAAATATGTTCATATGTATATGTTTGTGCGTGTATGTGTGCGAAATATGTTTTTGTATTGGTGAGGGGCATACGCATTCAACGATAAGGCCGCGACCGTCGTCATCGATAGGAACGAAGAACGAAGGGGGGTTGGGACGGAAATGAGAAAAAAATAGAAGGAGGCAGAGGAAGAAAGAGCTAGAGAGAGAAAAAGAGAGACAGACGGCGAGCTCTGCGAGAGGCCCCGTTTCGTGCGCGCTTTGCTATGTAAACATGGCTAAACATGTGCGCCTGCATGCGTGTGTCAGTGTGTATGTATACATACTACATCCATATGTACATATGTATGTACGTATGTATGTACGTATGTACTATTCGCTTAACCATCGATGGGCGGTTAACGGAACAGCCGAGTCGGTGGGCGATGTTCGGCAGGATAGCCGAACTCGGTGGCCCTGCCAATTGCTTTGATTTTTGGCAAGCTTCACGATTGCGCAGCCAAAGGAGCAGAGAAGGACTGGGAAGGGTAGGGCAGGGATATTGCTATAGAGAAGGAGGACGAAGAGGTAGAGAGTACGAGGGTATTGAAAAAGGAGCATAAAGGCCGCACACAAAGGACTTAGTCCTTCGAGGGCTGCAAGCGTGGCTTTAACCTTTAACCAAACACCAGGGATGCAGTTAAGGAGGTCTAAAAGGTTAAACAGGAGATCATCTTTGTCAAACCTTTTTATATTTTAGATTTTATTCCTCTGATCTTTCAACGATCAAAAATAAATTTTTTTTTAATGTGTAAATATTTTTTCAGTAAACATTTTGTTAGCTTTTGTTATTTTTATCCATTTCAAAAATAATAAATAAATAAATAAAGGTCAATACTCTTGATTAGCGTCTTCAAGGGTATATAAACTTGGGCTTGCAAAAATTAGCTTCCTTTCTTGTTATTAAATTCTTTAAAAACCAAGGAAGACTCCACTGAACACTCTTCAGGAGAGTGCATTCTTCAAATACTCCCACTTCCACTCTCTGTTTCACTCCCTCATTCTCTTTGCCTCCCCCACTCTACCTCAACCGCTCCTGGCCAATCAATGGACCGGACATCCGTTGGACCCTGTCTCCCACCTCAGCTCTTTCTACCGCACCCCCATCCCCTCCCTCTCCATGCTACCATGCGGCCTTCTCGCCCTCTTCTCCCCTCTGCGTTGCACTTTGCCTTCTGCTTTGGGCTAATGCGCCCGCAGCACCTGAGTGTATCTGTGTGTGCCTGTGTCTGTTTGTCTGAACCGCCACCCACTCTCTTCTTAACACCACTTTAACCTTTATGATATTAAATTAACACTTGTGTAAAAAAAGTCTAAGTTGTAAATTAAATTTAAATAAATTAAATAAGCACATAATTATTAGAAATAATAAAATCGATATTTTTTTTATGAAATATTATTTTAAATAAATTTTATATGCATACAAGCCTTTATTTAATTCGCGGGTTAGGTGGGATGTAGGGGAACCCTTTTGTTTTTGCAGCTGCTGTGGCTACTTGTTTTTTTTTTTTTTTTGCTTCATTATCAATTTTCCGCATCTTCTGCTTATCATTTTCAGGTTTTTGTTATTGTTTTTGTGGTTATTGCATTTGCCATGCATGCAAATAAGGCAAACAAAAAAATTCATAAAAAGAGAAAAGTCAAAAGAAGAAGAAATGCTTACAAAGTTTGCAACACATGCAATACATATATTTACACACACACACACAATCGTGGAGAAACGCACACAAATGCAGCATTTAGCTGGCTGCCTTTATGCACTTTCATTCGCCTGCTGCTGCAGTTGCTACTCTCTCTTTCTCTCTCTCTCTTTTTTCCTCTAGCCCTGTTTCTTACTCGCGCTTTCTTTCTCTCCCTCTCTCTCTCTCTTTTTGTGTCCCTGTCTCTCTCCCGCCCACGCCCCTCCACTTCCCACACTAGTTTTTTCTTTTTTCGCCGAGCAGCTGACATTTTCAGCCCTTGGGAACACTTCCCCTCGTAGCTCCACTTCTCACCTCTCCTTTCGACCCTTTTCCTTTGCCACATGTGCAAGAGTGCAATGAAAATGCCTTTTCTACTGTAAGTTTTCAGCGCATTTGTCATTTAACACACAAAAGTGCATTGCAATAGTCGTCATGTATTTATTTTTGCTCCCTTTGTCTCCAATGTTCTCTTTGTCCTTGTACATTGCAATTGATATTGCTCAACTTCAGCTTCTCTCCTGCTCTCTTTCTCTCTCTCTCTGTCATCATCATTACAATTATCATCTTTAGCCACGCTTGCATTCAACGGTATCCCTTATCCCTTTTATTGTCCTTTTTTTACGTTTCACATTTAAACTATGCCGTAGTAATTGTAAGTTCTATACAAATATATTTCATCATTTTTCAATCAAATTCTATGTTTATATTAACTATTTGTGTTTCTATGGCCTGGAAGGGAATTCATGTTTTTCATTTTGCTAGAGCTTTTCCTATAGCGATGTTATGCGCTACCATGCTTATTGAAAGGTACATGGATTTTACAAACTGTATGTGTATGTAAATAAATTACAGAAAATATTAAAATATAGACATTGAAATTATAATGTATGCACATGTTGTTTACCAACTGCTTTAGTCCTAATTCCAATGTTTACATATTTTTAAATATAAAAAACTAAAGTGCATCAAATGTAGGGGATTTTAGGGCCGACTATGCCTTGACCGCGA